CTGGTTCTCCTACAGATACTACTGAGTGAAAATCTTCCAACACTGTGGCATGTGTCAAGCACACACACCTGCTTTGAATGGACTTGAGCAACAGATCTTGAAGAACACTAGCTATGGAAACCAGTAACTGACTTTTCAGCATGGAGGGGTTTGCAGGTGGCTGGGACATGGACCATTAAACCTGTACAATGGGGAAATCCACAGGGTACTCTTTACTCAACACCACTTAACCCAGTCATTGAGAGCTCATGTTTCATTGGATAGGTGTATCAGTACAGTATAATTCATGGGAGGGTTGTGTGGAAAGAATAAAAGAGAGATTTTTAAAAAGGCAGCAACAAATGAAACAAGGTGGAGAAAAGTGGGGGAGGGTACAAAAGGAGAAGAGGGTAGAAAGCAATGCAGTGAAGGCAATATTCACATCGTCCTGCATAACTTTCTTCTGGTATAGTACATATCTCCCTCCAGCCTTGGTAGTTTTGAAAGTGAATCCAGAGAAAGCTGGAGGCTCGAAATGCATAGCTTCCTGATATTACTTACAAAATTATGGTGCACAAAATAATAGTGGGAAGGCAGCAGACACCATCAGGGCAGCAAGTACCATAGGCAAAGAGGCATGGCTCCTCCCATGCTCCATTCCTAGGCCTCTGCTTCCACTCTGTGACCCAGATTCAGGACTGGAGAGACTGCGGTGGTAGCAACTGTCCTTCCTCCCATGGGCTCTGGCGGGGAGGGCAGAAGGGATGGGGCTTTGGGCGGAAGGGGTAGGACTGGTGGCTAACCTCCCCCAGCCAGCCGTTCTTGTGCTGTGCATGCCAGTAGCCAGGGATTACTAGACTAGATTCCAGTGAATCCTGAAGCCCATAGTGCTTTTAGGTTTCCAGTGCTTCTCCTTCATGCAGAGTACTTGTAGAGTTTTTAAGATATGTAGTGTCCCCTGTACTCAACTGATCCTGCAGCCCTCTTAGGTTCAGAGCTGGGTTGCCTGAGTCATCTGCTCTCTAATCTTCATCTTTTCCAGCTCCCCCAACTTCCTAAAATGATTGCATTTGGCCTAGTGTTCTGCAGGAATCTGTAGTAGGTCCTGTAAACTTTAGGTCTGAGAGAGATAAAGGGTACGGCTAGACTGCGAGGTGATTTCGGGATCCCAGAAAAACTCTGCCGTGTCCAGGGAACGTGTTTGCACTTCCTCTTTTTTTGGTGGAAGAATAAATGTGCTCTTTCGGAAGCCCTTGTATTCCTCGTGCTGCGGCTTCCGAAAGAGGGGGTTTTTTTTTCCCAACATTTGGCCCAGTCTAGAAGGGCCAAATGTTGGAAAAGCCTCTTCTGACAAAAGAATCGGAAAAAGGTACACAAAATGTGGAGCGCATTTTGCATACCCTTTTCAGACAAAAACTTGTAGTCTAGCTGTACGCAACGTGAGAAGGGGAGCAGGAATCTGGAATAGGGATGTAAAATCCCATTGAATCAGTTAGCTGCTTAAACCAGTTAAGAGGGATTCCCCTGGGTCGGGGGGGCTGTTCCAGACTGTAGGGCTGCCCAGCTCCCAGACTACGGTGCTGCCACTTCCTCCAAGCTGTCTCCTCTCCAAACGGAAAAGTCCTAGTCCTATTAATCTCTCCTCATATGGCAGTCTTTCTGAACACAGTGTTCAAGATGTGGGTGTACAATGGATTTATACTGAGATAATAAGATATTCTCTGTCTTAGTCTCTCTTTTAATGATTCCTAACAGTCTGTTTGCTGCTGCTTCTTTTTTTGTGTGTGTGATTGCTGCTACGCATTGAATGGATAGAGAGCTAAACTATCCTCAATGACTCTAAGATCTCTCTCTTTAGTGGTTATAGCTAAATTAGTCCTCTCAATGACTCTAAGATCTCTCTCTTGAGTGGTTATAGCTAAATTAGTCCCCATCACTTTGTATATATCGTTGGGATTATTTTTTCCAGTGTGCATTACTTTGCATTTATCAACATTAAAATTCATTTGCCATTTTGTTGCTCATTCCCCTAGTTTTGTGAGATCCCTTTGAAGCTCTTCACAGTCTTCTTTGGATTTAACTACCTTGAGCAGTTTTGTGTCATCAACAAATGTTGCCACCTGTTTACCCCTTTTTCCAGCTCATTTATGAATATGTTGAATAAGTCACCCAATCATAAGAATGCCCTCATAACATGGTGTGTCTCTCATAACAATGTATTTCAGGAGAAAACTAACTCTGGTACACCTATGCTGCAATGTAAGCCTAGGGTTAGAGGAACACATGTGAGTTGATTCTAGAGTCCAGAGCTTGGGCATCTACACTGTTTGTCAACCTGAGGTTAATAACTTTTCTGACCTGGGCCTAGGCCTGGACCTGGGGCTTCAACATCCACAATGCAGTACTCACACCCAAATCTAACCAACCATATCCCAGTCTTCCTAATACCCTTCCAAAATGTGGTTGCTCTTGTGCTTTGTTCATGGTGCAGCATGTGAAAACTTGACTGTCCATAGGAAAAGAAAGTCAGTCCATATGAGTGTGGGATGCACTTGGCAGACTCTCAGAGCATGGATCCAAGGGGAGCTGTGTCTACACTGAAGAGCAATAGGACTTGAACTCTGAATCCAAGTTTGACTTAGGCTTGAACCCTCCATCCCTGTGGGATCCTGAGACCCTGAAATCCAGCCCTGGGATAGTGCTGTTTGTAGATAAGAATGGGTGGAAGGTTAGTCTTGAGTCTGAGTTCAAACCCTGGGTCATGCCATCTATGTCAATCTTATCCATGAAAAGGATATTGTTTTAATCAGTAACCTCAAAAAATATAATATCTTATTTTCAAAGATGCAGCAGTTGTGCTATGTGCAGTGATATGTGCAGTAAAAGAAAAAATATTCCCAATTAAACAAATAACTTTTTCATTAGGATTCTGGTGAAAGGTTCAAGTACTTTGTGGTGAACAGGATGTATGTTCTGTGCAAAGTCACTGGATGTGGCAGTGCTCTGGCAGAAATTTCTGTGGCATCTTCAGAAAAAAAATAAAATAGAGAATTTTATTAAATAAAACATGAAAAATAATATAATGAGGCAGTTTATACCACTCAGAGCTGTTGTTTCAGCTGGTCTGCAAACTCAAGTAGATCACATTGCATGGGTTTACAGTTTGAATATATTTGTGTCATGATGGTTACAAGAGGGAAGGCCAGCACTACAACAAAGGCAGATAAAATTGTTTGAGTTAGATCAACTGTGCATGTCCATACTTTCACACTACAAGAGGGAAGGCCAGCACCACAACAAAGGCAGATAAAATTGTTTGGGTTAAATCAACTGTGCATGTCCATACTTTCACATCATTGAAGTTCTTTTAAGTTTAACTCTGAATTTCCTGATTTTGTCCTTATTTTTGTTACTACAACATTCTTGATTTTTTTTTAATCTTTATGTTATGGATATGTCTGTCAAACTTAACTCCAATTTAGCAAAGTTTTTCATCTGGAAAATAAAAATAAACATGATTTATATATTATCTTCTATCTAATTTAGTACAAAAATTAAGTTAAATGACCATACCAAAGAGCAGCACATATTAACATTTTTATTCCTGGGACTCCATAAATAAACAGTGAGATTAAAGTGGATAGGGAGGACAGAAAGTGCAACATTTGACAAACAAAAGAATACCATGAGGTAGTAAAACAGAGGTTTTCCTGCTGTGGTCCACAGACCCCAGGAGTTCTATAGACTATTTAAGCAACCTACCAAATATGGTTACTATAGAACAATGGTTTTCAACCTGAGGGCCACAGACCAAGGGGGATCTGCAGACTATATGTAAGAGTTCCAAATGGGTCTGCACGTCGATTCAAAACTTTTAGGGATCCAGAGAAGGTTGCAAACCACTGTAATAAAGCATAAATAATGTTTGTAATTAGGTTAGGTACACATATTATAGTTTGTTGTTTTCTATCTGAACTGTGAATCTATTGAAGACCCAGCATGGAGAGACTTGATGACGTATAGGTCTTTTCTCTTTCTAAGTTCTCTAATACGTTAGTTCGAGCTAGGAAGGCAAACGAGGGCAACCAGGGCTGCAAATGAAGTCTGGGATTTAAATATCCCACGCTTCATTTGCATGTTCCTGGGCGCCGATACGTTAGTTCGAGCTAGGTAGGCAAATGAGGGCAACCAGAGTTGCAAATGAAGTCTGGGCTGCTCTCTATCCACATATCTGTGTTTCAGCTTCTCAGGATCAGATGAGCCAGCATAGACTATGCTGATATTATTGCTCCTTCTCTGCCCTGTGCTTCAGAGAGGCAAATAAGATGGATGATATGGAGGCAGGCTGTCTGGCCACACTACCTAGCTCGAACTAACGAGCTAGTGTATAGATACCCATAGTAATTAAATAAATTGACAACTATCTTTATTTCACTATGATATTGGAACATTGTTGTGCATGACACTTAAAACCTGAACATGACTGCCTCCAGGAGCGTTAGTCTAATATTGCACATGCAAGTTTATTCAAAATATTTATATTTTAGAACTGTCCTTTATGAGGCATACGACTGCACGCGCGCGCGCGCACACACACACAAATAAATAAAACATTATAAAGAATGCCAAATATATAGAATACTTGTTAAATAAAACATGATAAAGAATGCCAAATATATAGAATACTTGTGTTGCGGCTTATAACAAGCTAAAACCTGAAAAGAGAACATAATAAATTATAGAACATAATAAAAGAGAACAAAATAAATAGTATTAATTTATAAAATTAATAAATTATTAAAAATCACAGTAAATATTAATCCAACTTGCAGTATCATGTTTTTCTTTTTGAGTAGGACTCCCTATAGCTGAGTTGGCATTTTTTGTGTAAAATTAAGAACATATTTAGTCTGGTTTGGGGACAACTTATGAGGAGAATTGGAGGGAAGTGAATCAATATAATGTCAATAGCTTCTATGAAAAATGTTAAGTGGCTTTTTTTTCTCATAAATGTCTTACAGATTCCTGTGGTCTCTCAATGTTCCTCACACAATAATGAAAGTCAACTTGTTGGCTGGAAGTTCATTAATGTCACAGTTGCCACTTGATCGTAAGAGCATTGAAAGTGTTTTAACTACTTTGCTGCAATGATGTGCCTCTTGAACCTTCTGTGTTTAATATTACTCCTCCAGTCATTTTGTAAATATAGTTCTCCTTTCCTTTGTTTTTGTCAAAATGACTGAAAATTGGTTAAAAAAAGTCAAGCCAAAACTAAACATTTCCTTTTGACATTACAAAATATTTCAGTTTTTTGTTTTTGGTTTGGTCAAAGCTATTCAATGAACTCAAAGGCTGCGTCTAGACTGGCATGATTTTGCGGAAATACTTTTAACGGAAAAGTTTTTCCGTTAAAAGTATTTCCGCAAAAGCGCATCTAGATTGGCACGGATGCTTTTGCGCAAAAAGTGCTTTTGCGCAAAAGCATCTGTGGCCAGTCTAGATGCGATTTTGCGCAAGAAAGCCCCGATCGCCATTTTAGCCATCGGGGCTTTTTTTGTGCAAAACAGTTCTTCCCTGTCTACACTGGCCCTCTTGCGCAAGTATTCTTGCGCAAGAGGGCTTTTTCCCGAGCGGGAGCATGAAAGTATTTGTGCAAGAAGCACTGATTTTGTACATTACAAAGTCAGTGCTCTTGCGCAAATTCAAGCAGCCAGTGTAGACAGCTGGCAAGTTTTCTTGCCAGTCTAGACGCACCCAAGATGAATTAATAAATAGTTTTAGGTGACTCAAAACTACATTCATCAGTGAATAAAGTATTTGAAAAATGTCATCCAGCTCTAGTTATAGGGACCCTTTGACATTATTAAAAAAAAATCACAGTGAAATAAAAAATAAAGCCAGCAGTTTTCCCTTTCTCTCAAACACTTCAAATTAAAACATGCCCAAAGTTTGTATCCTCCAGATACAGCATGATATCACCCAAAGCCTCTTGATTCAATCCAAATCCTCTTGATTATGATCTGCAATGTAACATGAAATTTCCTCTCAATGGGAGGAACTTTTATTAGCCATCAAGTGTTGGCAGCTTAGTTTAACTAGATTGGCCACTGCTCAAGACAAATATGTTAATGATGAAGGGAAATGAATATTTTTCCTCCTATAGTACAAAATTAAATATTTATGGTGCCATCAGTCATCTAGATCATTTTGTTGGCCTTGTTTACACACAGATTTTGTACCAGTACAACTGTGTTAGTAAGGAATGTGGGTTTCCCCCCCAGCATAGTTATACTGGAGTAGTCCCTAGTGTGATGCAATTATACTGTTTATAATGCCTTATTCTGCACTAACTTATTTCCCTTCTTGTATGGGAATAAGCTGTATACTGGTATAAGTGAATTTATATTTGTGTACTGCATTCACACTGGAGAGTTGTACCATTTTAAGTGTACCAGAATAGTTAAATTGGTACAGCTTTTGTGTACACATAAACCTTATAACAGGAATCACTCTATTTTTAATGGACAATATTTCATTGTAACATAACATTATATTTACTTATTGCTAATTATTCAGTGAAATTCTAATTTCCGCCTCAGAGGTTTCTGATGACCTCTTCTCCTAGCTCTACCCCATCATTGTTAAGGATCTGCGTTGCTGCCACCTTTATTCTAGCTGAGGAGGGCTAAATGGAGCACCTTTCACATCCCCTTTAAGCAAAGGGTTCCCTGTAAAGAAGCATGAAAGATTTCTTACCAAGAATTCAGCTTACTAACTCTGCAGCGCTTTCAGCCTCTATTTGCTAGATCTGCCTGAGAAAAAAGTATGCCACTAGGCCCTATCTTCACCACAGAATATATATACAAATAGTTACAGATAGGTATGTAAATTCAGCATACATGGTTTACTGATCTACTGATCCCTATAGTGACTAGTTACAATGAAATATGTCTTCCAGGTTTAAAAAAAAATTTAAATTAATCAGACATTTGTTTTAAATTCAAAGATACTGAGCTAGGTTCTCCAGCTCCCTTTGTGTCACCCAGTTGGCACAGAGGGACCAGAAATCTCCTGTTACTCCCCAAGGGGCATTGAGCCAGTAGAGTTATCATCTGTGCCTCCCCCCATTGCAGATCCCAGCACAGGCAATATGTTGATGTGCAGGAATAGATAACGGTGAAGAGAGGCAGTAGCCAGAGTACAAAGAATGTTGGCAGTCCCCAGCAGATTAAAGGTCCTTATAGGGGACTTCCACAAATAAGCAGACTAGTTCATACCGAGTAAAAATGAAGAAAGGGTCACTTTTGCATCTATTTCATAAAGAACCATCCATGGCAGTTTATTTTTAATAATAATTATTTTGACATATATTTTTCTTTCAGTGCTTCCCTAGTAGAGGCTTCAGGTCAAAGGCCAGAATTTGATATTCCCTCCTTACAATTCCTGCACCTGATATTACCAAATTCAGATGCAAGGATAAGTTGGTCAGTCCGTTCTAAGTCAGATCTTCTCACAGTGGAAGAGGGCTATACTTTAGGCAGTGGGAACTTCAACTGTGTTCTACTGATGAAAGATAAATGTCTCTGTACTCTGTGTCATAATGAAAATCTTTGTGGTCTCACAAAACTGTGAATTTTCCAAAGAATAACCTCCTCCTTTTGAAGATGAAACTCTCTTTATTTCTCCAGAGGACATACCCTGGCTCTTTTAAATGCAGACTCTGCTACTGTGTAAACTAGTTATCATTACTTCCAGTCGGTAATTTGTGCAACATAATTTTAGACCCCCCCCCGTCTGAATGTCAGCACCATTATGAACCCACTATAAAAGAAGAGCGAGACTAAGTTAATTTTTTCAGTATACTGGAAATTTAAGGTTATTTATATTCAGATCTTTATTTTGTATTCCCTACAGATTTTGTAAAGCAGCTCATGCACTTTTTAAAGAAACATTAATTCCAAAAATCTTTCTTCTAAAAAGAGTTGAATTATACTACTTCCTGTTTCTTAGAAAATCTCTTCTTCCCAATTCAGCATGTCACAGAGACAAGAAAACGGACTTACTTCCTGGGCAGAAAAAGGGGTCCTTTATCTGCAGCACTCCAACCTGTTATCTTGACAACTCTACATTTGCAAGGAGGGCATCATATGGAAAGATATTAAAGGAATCTGGTTTAAAATTGAATGGTAATAATTACACAGATTATTGTTAGCTAAAAATAACCACAACCTACCCAGCCTAGTTCTTCTTCCATTACAATACTCTCGGTTCTTATTTTTATGAAGCATTTATACAACATTGTCAAAAGCAGCAGCATGGAGGAGCAGGGGAGGCTGGCACAAAGCAGCCTCTGCCCGTGGCAGGCTCAAGCCTGGGCTGTCGTGAACAGGGCTTGCTCCAGCCAGGCAGGCAACTGGGACTACCCCTGCTGTGGTTCTGCAGTTTAAATGTACTAAGAGTTGGGCGAGCAGCTACAGTGGAGGTAGTCAGGACTGAGCCGGGCTTGCTCGGTGTTGGCTCGTGCTAGGTCCGGGACCAATCACCACTGGGCCTCTGCAGTTCAAATGTAGTAAGAGCTGGGCATTTAAACTGCAGAGGTGCAATAAGGTTATGTCCTGGACCCGAGCTGGGACTGAGCAAGCCCGGCTCAATTCTGGCTCATGCTGGGTCCAGGAACTACCCCTACTGCACCTCTGCAGTTTAAATGTAGTAGGAACCAGGCTGCCTGCACTCTGGCTTCTACTACATTTAAACTGCAGAAATGCAGAGGGGGTAGTTCCTTGATCTGGATTGAGTGCCTTCCCATATCAACTAATAGTGTAGTTGATAAAAATTGTATTGACTACATGATTAGCCAATTACCCAACATCCGTAGCTCTATGGCACCTTAGGGTACATCTACACAGCAGGACAAAAGTTGAATTAAGATACTCAATTTCAGCTCTATCAATTGTGTAGCTGAAGTTGAAATAGCTTAATTCAGCTTTTGATGTTCTCTACACAGCAAGAAGTTGAAGAAAGAACACTCTTCCTTCCACTTTCCTTGCTCGTCATGAAATGAGGGTTACAGGAGTCAGAGTAAGAAGTCCTCCAGCTTGACATTATTTTGAGATAATGGCTTGTAGTGCAGATATGCATGTTGTTATTTTGAAAAATGTCAGTTATTCCAAAATAACGCTGAGAAAACATTCTAGGTCAGCCATAAAAATGCTGGCATATTGTGGGGCTATGTGGATACCCATAGCAGAACTGCTGACTTGAAGGTATAATTGTCTCCAAATCAGAAATGGCTGTGTGTGAGGACAAAATCACATAGTTCAGCCACCAGCTGTGCCATGGCATCACTGGGGATACTGTTTCTGACACCTTGTATTCCATGCTCATGTGGAATATTGGTGTAGAGAGCTTCTACATCCATGGTGTCAAAGATGGTGTTTTCAGGAAGATTACTGATGCGCTGTAGTTTCCTCGAGAACTCAGCAGTGTGTTGGGGCATGTCTAAACTACATCCCTCTTTCGAAAGAGGGATGTAAATTAGGCAGATTGAAAGTGCAAATTAAGTGGGGATTTAAATATCCTGCATTTCATTTGCATAATCGCGTCACAGCATTCTTTTGAAAAAGGGTATTTTGAAAGTGAAACTGCCATCTAGACGTGGTTCTTTCAAAAAAAAATCTTTTTCAAAAGTTGAGGAGTACAGGATAAGGAGTACATTTCAAAAAGTGAGGAGTACAGGATCTTTTGAAAAAGGTTTAAAAAAACAAAAAAAAACGGGTGTGAGTGGCGGTCTCACTTTCAAAATACCCTTTTTCAAAAGAACGCTGTGATGCAATTATGCAAATGAAGCACGGGATATTTAAATCCAATCCTACGCTTCATTAGCAACTTCGGTCACCTTCATTTGCCTCCTTAGTTTGAACTAGGGGGCAAGTGTAGATGTACCCTAACAGATTTATTAGGGCATAAGCTGTTGTGGGTATAACCTACTCCATCAGATGAATTGGAGTGGAAGTAACAGAGGCAGGAATATATATAAGGAAAAAGTTGCTTGTGTTAATGAGGCTAATCAAGTTAGAGTAGAAGTGGCCTCTAGACAGCATTTGATGTTGAGATGTGAATATCCAGAGAGGGGAAATTGCCTTTGTTGTATGTTAACCAGTTGAGACCCTTATTCAGTCCTAAATTTCAAGCCTGGGCTGTCGTGAACAGGGCTTGCTCCAGCCAGGCAGGCAACTGGGACTACCCCTGCTGTGGTTCTGCAGTTTAAATGTACTAAGAGTTGGGCGAGCAGCTACAGTGGAGGTAGTCAGGACTGAGCCGGGCTTGCTCGGTGTTGGCTCGTGCTAGGTCCGGGACCAATCACCACTGGGCCTCTGCAGTTCAAATGTAGTAAGAGCTGGGCATTTAAACTGCAGAGGTGCAATAAGGTTATGTCCTGGACCCGAGCTGGGACTGAGCAAGCCCGGCTCAGATGTACAGGTATATGAGCCCCTGATGATGTGGCTTATATGCTTAGGTACTGTGATGGTGTCACTTGTATAGATATGTGGACAAAGTTGGCAATGGGCTTTGTTGCAGTGATAGCTTTCTTGGTAAGTGTTTCTGTGGTATGTGTCAGCTTGGAGGGCTGTCTGTAGGCAAGGACTGGCCTGTTTCCCAAGGTCTGTGAGACTGAGCCATTGTTTTCCTGGACTGGCTGTAGATTGTCAGTGATGTGCTGGAGGGGTTTTAGTGGGGGCTATAGGTAATAACCAGTGGTATTCTGTTATTTAACTTTTGGGGCCTGTCCTGAAGCAGGTGACTTCTGGATACTCATCAGGCTCTGACTATCTGTTTTTTCATTTCCCCAAGTGGGTATTTAAGTTTTAAGAATGTTAATAAAGATCTTGTAGGTGTTTGTCTCTGAAGGATTGAAGCAGATATGGTTGTATCTTAGGGCTTGGCTATAGAGAATGGAAGGTGTAATGTGCCCTGTAGGTAAGAGTAGTAATCAGTAGGTTTCCAATATAGGGTGGTGTTTATATGACCATCACTTATTTGTATTGTAGTGTCCAGGACATGGATCTCTTGTGTGGCTTGTTTCAGGCTGAGGTTGATGGTGGGGTGCAAATTGTTGTAATCCCAGTGGAATTCTTCAAAGGTCTCCTTCTTGTGGGTCCATATGATGAAGATGTCGTCCATGTAGCGTAAACAGAAGAAAGGTGCTAGGGATCTGGAGCTGAGAAAACATTCTAGGTCAGCCATAAAAATGCTGGCATATTGTGGGGCTATGTGGATACCCATAGCAGAACTGCTGACTTGAAGGTATAATTGTCTCTAAATCAGAAATGGCTGTGTGTGAGGACAAAATCACATAGTTCAGCCACCAGCTGTGCCATGGCATCACTGGGGATACTGTTTCTGACACCTTGTATTCCATGCTCATGTGGAATATTGGTGTAGAGAGCTTCTACATCCATGGTGTCAAAGATGGTGTTTTCAGGAAGATTACTGATGCGCTGTAGTTTCCTCGAGAACTCAGCAGTGTGTTGGGGCATGTCTAAACTACATCCCTCTTTCGAAAGAGGGATGTAAATTAGGCAGATTGAAAGTGCAAATTAAGTGGGGATTTAAATATCCTGCATTTCATTTGCATAATCGCGTCACAGCATTCTTTTGAAAAAGGGTATTTTGAAAGTGAAACTGCCATCTAGACGTGGTTCTTTCAAAAAAAAATCTTTTTCAAAAGTTGAGGAGTACAGGATAAGGAGTACATTTCAAAAAGTGAGGAGTACAGGATCTTTTGAAAAAGGTTTAAAAAAACTGCTTACTTTTGCGCTAAATCTTGCCAATGTAGACACAGCCTTAGAGACTAAGGGTACGTCTACACTTTCCCCCTAGTTTTAAGGAAACTGAAGTTGCTAATG